GAGAACTTCATCAAGAATTACATAGCCAAGTGTCTAGAATTATCATCGCTTGCCAATTTTTAGATATTTTCCTTGTGGTCTTTAAGTAGTCAAAGCGTGCCAAGCTTCTCAGTTATTCAGATGTTTGCTTAATAGTTTTATTCAGAGATTGAAAATTATCCATTCTCTGTTCTCAAGGTGATTTGTTACACACACATCTATGTCTTCACGGGAACGAAAGTTAAAGACACAGCACATCCTCTGGCAGAGACCTTTATCTTCTCATTAGAATCTAATTTGATTCCCTTCTGTAGGAAGCTTGCAAAATCATGTTGAGCAAATCACCCATTTATTTGCTTCAATTATGTTAATGGTGGAAGTGATTAGCAAGAGAAATGCTTGAAATAAATGACTGTTCCACCAAAATACTATGGGCTCAAGGTTTGACCTAATTTTTTAGACATCTAGTAGCACCTTTACTTAGAAGACATAATCTGCTTGATTAGAAGATGGCCCTAATCAGCTACTGTCACCTGTACCAGTCCTCAGAATGCCTCCTTCTGGGGGCTCCTTTGGCACCACTGCCTGGTGGCTGTGGATGGCCCTGTTACCCTGGCCATAACTGTTTGGGGTCTAAAGTGAGCCCTCCCAGTGATGGTGAACTCTAGGGTCTGGCCCGTGGTGGGTGGGTGACCTAGCACAATGCCATTCCCAATAGGCTGCCTCGGTTTCACTCTGAAAACAAAAAACAAAAAACAGAACTTGATATAGGGAAAGAGCAGCAGCTGAAAACAAACAGGAGCCAAGAGTAAAAGCAGTTTTAGAAGGGTCAGAATAATGGCAGCGTACTACAAATGGGATCCACAAATGGCTGCGAAGAGGGCCAAGTGTAACCATGAACTCTACTCGTTTATGCTGACCGTGCAATTCAGTTCTCCTGATTTACTGTTCCCTTCAGCTCTTCACAATAAACTACTACTGAATAAGACCAGTGACTCCTCCTTGAAGCCCACACCACTCAACACAGTATTACACACTAAAATGTGAAATCTGGAAAGGTTAAAGCATCAGTAAGTTTATCATCACACAACATGAGTTCCTATTTTTGTTACTGTTTTAAAGTAATGTACATAGGGTCTTACTAAATAAGATTTGGAAAAGTATATACAGGAAACATTCTTCCAAATTTCTCATTCCTTTCTAACAAAGTACACATGATATATAAAATTACTGGGAAAGGCCAGTGCACATGAGAGCCAGGATTGTGGGAACAGCCTAGTAGGGGCATAAGGGGTCTTCCAGACTGCGCCACTGTACCTGCGGTGCACATGAGAGCCAGTGCTGGGGATGGGTTGGGTCATATCACTGCATCCAAAGGTGCTTCTGGAACTGGGACTAAGAGTCAGCCTGGTAGTATTCCTGGAGGCTACTCCCCGCTCAACACCACCCCAACCAGGCTGACACACTCACAGATGCATATGGGATTCAGAGCAGATTGCGGTCTGGACCAGGATGCAGCACTGCTGGGGCGCATGAGAACTGGAGCTGAGGATGAGCTGGGTAAGGAGTGAGCCCCCTGAATTGTATGTGCGCCTTAAACTGACACGATCCCCGATTTCAGGGAACACCATGTATACTCCCGCCCTGCAGCACATATTGCAAGGTGAGGCCACCTCTGTTGCTGATTACTGCGAAGGGATGAAGAACATACCCACATGTACATGAAAGACAACTGGCTCCTCTAATCCAGCAGAAGACCTCAAATACCTCTGCAAAGGGTGGAAAGAAAAGCAAGTGGCACACTTCAGGCCAAGTTCCACAGAAAGCACCTAGGCCTGTGGACACTCTGAGGCAGACATGGACAACCAACAGGCCTTAGAACATACACGGAGAGAACAAGAGCCCTGGGAGGACAGATGGACTAAGTCACCTTTTAAGAGCAATTAAGATGATGCAGGGGACACAGCTATAGAGGGAAAGGCCAGACCAGCCATAAGGATCCACGAGATGAGGGTCAAAATTAGGACAACTCTGCAGCAAGCGTAGGGCCACAAAGCAGAAGTCACACTTCCTCTGCTCCATGTCAGTCTTACCCATCTATCACTCAAGTAACACTCCCAGGACATTGTTCCTCTCTCTGAGACACTGAGGTTGCATCTGGTGACCATTACTGTCCCTGACACTAATGTAGTCTGAAAACAAGGAACAGCACAACCCCTTCCACATGTCCCAACCCCACAGAAGCAAGAGGGAAGGCAGAGACAATTCTCTCCTCACACCCATCCCAACCAGTGGCCCACATGAGTCTGCAGTCCCCTCATCTTTGTCATAAATGTTAACAAGTTAAATTTTAAAAAAATAAACACAAAATCATTGGGGAAGGTGTTGAGTTAGAATTCATATAACCAATTTGGGAAAGAAATAGTTTTAAGAAAATTCTACTAAATGGTTAGTGAGTATTTGACTTCACCCTGCAGTTCCATACTGGTTTCCAGGGCCCCCTTACAGAGACAGGTTCCAAAATAATTTGGGTTTATGAAACTATTTTAGCCACTATGGTCTGCAGACAGGAGTCTCTAATGTGTCTGATACCGAGCTGTTGGCCAGGCTTTTCTTTGCCTCTTCACCAGGGGAGGTGAGGTCCATGCAGGATTCAGGCCTTTGTGTGATGGTGTCAAATTGACCCCTATGGAATACTCAGAAACTCTGTGTCTCTTGTTCCAAGTAAGACTAGCATCTGGGTCTGTGAGGATGAGGGAAATGACCCTGCTGCCATGTGGGTCTGCACCATCAGCTGGTAAGGGGTCTGAAGAGATCATGCACAGAAACCTGACTGGTGTCTCTTGCTCTATGTGTTGGGACTCTAGCCTAGGACATCAGCTGCTGGCCTGTGGACTTCAGTAGCTCCACTGCTGGGACTCAGGCTGCTGCCTCCAATTGAGAGCTATACCTGGGCTTCCCTGGTTTGAAGGCCCCCATGCTCAGGCTAGGCTCCACTCCCAGTGTGCCAGGGTCTCTGGCCTGAAGCAACTGTCATGGGAATTCTCAGCTGCCACAAACACATGAGGCAATTCTACCAATTCCCTCCTTGCAGATCTGCACAGACCCTAAAGCTTCTCTTTCGGACTCCAACACACCTCTGTTGTGAAAGACCAGGCCTAGCGTCACTGAGGCCTTCTCAGGCCTTGACTTCACTATGGAAGACTTCTGACTCTGCAGGCAAGTCTTAATAGATTTAAGAGTTAGCTTTACTTTTCAGAATATTCCAGCAGGTCAGTCGACCCTGATTATTAAAATAATTAAACTTTTTGCAAGAACTATAGATTCTCACAGTTAAGAAAATAATACAGACAGTTCCCAGAGCCTTTTCCCCAATATGTATGACATGTGACTATAGTGTAACATCACACCCAGGGTGCTGACATGGCTACAGGGGAGATACAGAACAACCCAACCACAGGAACCTTCCTGCTGTACTTTCACAGTCACACCTGCCATGTTCCTCCCTGGCAACCACTCTTACATTCCTTACGTTAGTAATTTTGCCATTTTAGATATATTAACTAAATACGAAAACTAAAAAAGCTTGTAGAAATGGTGACCGCGAAAATGTGTATTATAAAAATTATAATTCTATGCATATATTTGAACATTTTTATACCAAAGTAAACTTTTAATTCCATTTTTAAAGAACCTTTTGAAGAATTCCCACAGCATTAAACAACACATGGTGGCAGGTGTTTGATGCAGTAGCTGAAACACAGATTGGGATGTTCACATCCCACCCTGGGTGGATTGAGTTCAAGTCTGGCTTCCACTTCTGATTCCAGCTTCCTGCAACAGGTGATGGCTCAAGTAGTTAGGTTTCTGCCACTCTACCAGGAGACCTGAATTGTTTTCCTGGCTCCTGGCCCCAACCCTGCCTAGCTCTACCTGTTGCAGGCATTTGGGGGATGAACCAGAGATTAGAACCCTAGCTCTCTGTCAGATTAAAATAACTTTAAAAAACACTTGAGGTCAAGTTTTCAAATCATACTGTATTAACCCTGAACTCTTTTCCAAGGAATACAGACACACTTTGGAAGGAAGACATTAAATCTACAGAATCTCAAATAGGTTTCTAAACTGTTAAAATGAATCTATCTCCTTTCAAAGAACTTGTGTATTGGCCAGAAACTGTAGCAAGAGCCAGTATTCAAGACTCTGCATCTTCATTCTGATGAAACTGGACCTGAGTATGCAACAGTGATTCTGCTAATCACTAGACACACTTTTATCTTACTTTTTTGATCTCTTCATCTTAAGGTTTAAAATGTGAAGAAATTGTAGATTCTCATGGCAGCTTTCTTCTTTGAAGAATGATGGGTAGCCACTTTTGTTTTACACAGAATTGGCTTTCATATGAGCGCATGATGACAGTCAGTGCCTTCAAATCTTACAACTACCCTGCGACAGCAATATTACTTTCCTTCCTCCAAGGTCACCTTGAAAATCACGGAGGACTGAGACCCAGCCATTCTGTGACCCCTATAGTCCCTATATCTAGGTGAGCCCAAAGCTACACATGGTAACAAGAAATCATTTTGCTACTGATTCTTAATAATCTGCATTTCTTACACCAATAACTAACTCATTATACACAATTGCCCTTCTATTTTACCAGAGGAATTTACTTTTTAAAAAAGATGTATTTATATATTTGAAAGGCAGAATTACAAAGAGAAGGGGACACAAGGAGGGACACTGAGAGATCGTCCATCTGCTGGTTCACTTTGCAAATGGCCACAACAGATATATTGTGCCAAACCAAAGCCAGGAACCTCCTCCAAGTCTCCCACCATTGGTGGCAGAGGCCCAAGCACTTGAGCCATAATGTGCTGCTTTCCCAGCTGCATTAGCAGAGAAATGGATTGCCAGTGGAGCAGCTGAACTTGCATCAGAGCCCACATGGGATGCCAGCGCTACAAAATAGCGCTTAACAAAGTGGCTGCACCATCATGCTGGTCACTGTAATTTAAAAAAATAACTTGAGAGTCACCCGATTTATCAAGTAAAATTTAATCAGTGTCCAGTTACACAATATTCCTAATTAAGTATTATAAATCATGTTAATAGCAAAAATACAGAATAATAGAGAACACATTTTGCCATTCAATGTTAGCTTGTGATACCTTCACCGTGAAAGTTCCAGGAGGAAAAACCTCTGCTCTGCTGGTTTCTAAATTCCATATTTTCCAATCAGCTCGTTAGCTTTAGAAACGTAGGCACGCATGGCCTCATCCTTTGACAACCCTAGAAAGACATAAAAAACAGGTTCCCTCACAGATTGGTGCATGGGGAAGTGAACAAGGTTTGTTTTAGATTTGTTAAGGAGTTCCAAACCTTTTTGGAGGTTCCACGCTTCCCACTTGGCCTTGCCTTTTAAGTCTAACATTGCTGGACATGCTGCCAAAAAAGAAGAGACACTTTCATGTTGACTTAGTACTGCTTCTATAAATACTGTTAAACCAAGTTCATCATTATTCTTTCTTAAATAGCCACTTAGTACCGATATTAATGTCCCCAACAATGGCTTGCTTGTACAGCCCGTAGAGTGCTTTCAATTCTTCATCACTAGGTCGTGCCTTCAGCTTCCTCACGTCTTCGGCGGCTCTGTCAAAATCAGCCTAAACCAGAATACAAAACAAAACAAAAGACACATACAGTGCATTTGCTACTGTCAGGCCGATCCATGTTCATTTCAGGGTGTGTGCCTCCAGGAAGTGGGGACTCAGAGGAAGTGGAAGAAGGTTCAGTTAGAAGTGAACCACCATGCAGGTGTTGTGGCACTTCAGTGGGTGCTGACCCAGCTCCCTGCTGATGCATTTTGGGAGGAAGCAGATGATGGGCCAAGTGTGTGGGCCCTGTCACCCACATGGGAAACCAAGATGGAGTTCTGGACTCCTAGCACCTGGCCCAGCCTGGACTATCGGGTGCTTATGGAGAATGGATCAGAGGATGACAGATTCCTCTCTGTTACTCTGCCTTTTAAGGAGGTGTAAAAAAAAAAAAAATTTTAAATTCTGCTTTCACAATTATCCTAATTACTTGAACTCATAGATAGATTGTTTTCCAGGTAGTTACCTGATATTTAGATATAGCACATGGAATTAAATAAAATCTTTCCTAGTAACAAACAATGCTCAGCTATCTGAGTTTTCTAAAAGGAAATCATACTCAGTGAAACTTAATGACTTCCATGGAACTGCTTTCCCAAACCCACACCTCACTGTACGCAGGAACTCAAGCCCGTACCCCTTCCTCTCCCAGAGCTCAGCACGGCAGCAACACGCGGTGAACACCCCAACGGCCAGGGCTTGGCTAGCCCATGGGGATACAAGGGGCGCTCTGCCTGCAGTGGCCCAGAGCCTGGCAGGAGGTGAGTACGTAATGTGCTGCAAAGGAGCACAAATGCCAAATGCACATATCATTGTATGTGCCCACACTGCTAAATTTAAATAGGTCACTCAACTATACGGTTGTTTTTCAAAAGGTATTTTCCTCCAGTATTCTTTGCTCAATTACTTCAGAGGCACCCCCCTCCCCCCACCACACAGAGAAACTTTCCATCTACTAGTTCATTTCCCAGTTGCCCACAACAGTCAGAGCAGGTCAGTAAGTAACGGGAAATTGGTTAGGGTCTCCCTTGTGGTGGCAGGAACCCAAGTTGTTCTTGAGCCATCATCTGACACCTCCCAGAGTGCTCATTAACAGAAAGCCACACCCCTGTAGGAGGGATGTGGTCTCCCGACCTGGCAAACACCTGCCACTCCTCCAATACCAGGAACACTCAATTAAATGGATGACAGACACTATCCTGGTGGTCAATGTGGATATTTCTTGGCATGCTGCTTTCCTGTAATGTCTTTCAGCTATTACATTCTCACTGAAGATTTTTTCCCCCCAAGATTTGTTTATCTATTTGAAACAGAGCAATAGAGAGAAGGAAACCCCAAATGGCTGCAACAATTAAAGTCTGGGCCCGAAGGAAGGCAGGAGGATGAGCTCCAGCCAGGTCTCCTACGTGGGTGGCAGGGACTCAAGTACTTGGGGCCTCTTACGCTGCATTCCCAGAGTGCTCATTAGCAGGAAGCTGGACATGGAGTGAAACAGCAGGGACCAGAACTGCCACTAGGACATGGGATGCCTGTAATCCAAGTAGCAGCTTAACTCACGTGCTACAACACACATCCCAAAACATCTTTAAAGCTTTCAACAGACAACAAAGTACTGAGTGACAAGGAAATTCTATCTTCTGAGTCTCGGCAAGTTTTGATTATTGGAGGGTGAGGGGAGGAGAGGGGAGCCTCAGCATTGGATCACATTGTCAAGCACAAGAGAAAAATCCATACATGTTTAGCGACAGGTTTATATTTACTGGACACTTAGCCCACACGCCAGGCACTTCCCACAAACCATAGAGGCAGCCCATTGGAGAGCAAGCGTGCTGCAGTCTGAGAGAAGGGAAGTGAGGTACACAGAGGCTAAGGAACTATTTCACAGGCTGAGTAGAGACCAAGTAGAGACACGACCCAGCTGACAGGAGTGTGGACTTTTCTTCCACCTAAGCTTCTTGCCTGAAGAAATGGTTGAAGGTTAGCCATGCTCATTATATTCAATGTCATGCAATTTTGAACATTTATATTTTTGGAGAATAATGATGAGGAAATGCCCATAATAAAGTGCTAAGTGGAGAATCAAAACTAAACGTGAAAGCAACATAATGAGTGTGCATACATAAATCACACGTGTAAGCATATTTACATTCAGGCGCACAAAGAAAACATGCAAGGAAGCCACCCACCACATTAGCAGCGGCTATCTTCCAGCTCCTGGGGGATTGCGCCTCCTTTGACGTTCCAGGCGGTTTAACCAGTCCCTGGGGCCCCAGGAAGCTCGTGGTAAACAAATGACTCGATTCAGTCTACACTGTCCTAAGGGTGCACTCTGGAAACGGTGGGGATGCCCCGAGGTTGGCCGTGAGCGCTCCCAGGAGGCGAGCGGCAGCTGCTGTGAGCTTAGCGGGGCAGGGGAGAGTCAAGTTCGCCACACGCTCTCCTTTTGGGGGCTCCTTCTCAAAGTACTCCTTCTCCCCACCCCCCATCTCCTGTGTTACCTGCAGAGACATCCCAGCGCTGAAGGACTTACACCTGCTCCTCTTCGCGCAACTCCGCACTGCCTCGCGCCGGGTTTCCTCTTCCAGGCAGCGCATCTCCGTCGGCCATCCCATTGGTCGCACTCCCGGCCCGGCTCGGCCCATTGGTTCGGGGCGCCGGAGGGCGGGGCAGAGCGGAGCTGGACAGGTGAGCTTGGTGGACCCAAGAGGACCTCCCAGGAGGCAGTGGCAGCTCTTAATGGCTGGCGTCCCACCCAGAGGAAAAGCTAAAAGGAGGGCGATTAAGTCAGCTTCTCTCGGCTCCTACCTGGCGCTTCTAATCTTTCTCAAAGAAGTTCTATGCAAAAGAAACCCAGAGCGATTTTCCTAGAACGTAGACCTCACTTGGGGATCTTCCTTGGTATACAGGAGGAACTATCCGATGTGCCTTTGTTGCTGGGACCTGGTCGGCGATGGGAATCAGGTTCCCACCGTGTCCTGAATGTCAGAAGGGCCATGTGGGTCTTCCATGAGCGTTTATGGGTTGTCTTTCCTCCTTTTTCTAAAGCAAAGCGGCCCTAACTTGCTGTTAGTCATGACGGAGGCCCAGCACTGCAAGCCTGCTCAGGCTGACCTGCTTTTGCAGGCGGCACAGATCCCTACGACCCTAGAACCTGCAGACACGCAGGAGGGTGCTGTGAGTCCCGCTGCAGTGCCTCTCCGCAGAGCTGGGGCCGCATTCCCTGACGGCAGGGGTGATTCCGCTTTCCGTCCTTCGTTTTACTTCGTTTTACTTCGCAGGTCAGTATTGGGAGAATTACCGACTTTGCAAACAAATGACTGAGGGAGACTAGTCCCCAGAACAAGTGAGCCTATTTTCTACCATACAGCATTTTAGAAAGGTTTGCTACGCTTGTGGTGAAATAGACCCGTGGGAAGAAATCAATATCCAAGTAGAGTAAAATGCTTGAAAAAGTCATACTGTTTTCCTGGGATTTTTTTTTTTTTAAGTCTTGGACAATGGGCAATGCAGAACAGGGAGCACTGGGGGTGGGCCGGGGTGGGCAGCGTTTGACCTGTTAGTTTAGAGTTCGCAACCTCTTTCAGAGAGCCTGGGTTCCCTTCCCTGCTCCAGCCCCTGCCTCCAGCTGCCTGCTCCTGAAGGCCCTGGGAGGCAGTGGCAAGGGCTCCAGCTGCTGAGTTACTGTTCCTCCTTCTTCCTTCTCCCCTTTCATTTCTTCTTTGCTTTCTTCCTTTTTCTTCCTTCCTTCCTTCTTTCCTCCTCTTCCATATCTGTAAGCCACCACCTGCTGCCTCCCAGGGTGTGCATTAGCAGGAGGCAGGAGCCGGGATGCAGGCACTCCAGTTGGAGACCCGAGAATCCCAGTTACCATCTCAAGTAGTGAGTCAAATGCCTACCCTTCAAAAACTGTTTCCACTACACTAAAATTATCTTCTAGTTCAATTCTCTTTAAACTTTACATATGTTCGAGTATTATTATTTTAATATTAAAGCATGCCTGAACGTGAACCATCAGAAGGGAGCATGGAAAGAAAATATTTTTGGAGAGCATGTGGTCATGGGGAAAATTTTGCTTTTGTTGTTGCTATGCTTGTGTGATACAAGAATGGAAGGGAAACTGATTTTGAAATGTTCATATTAGTCAAATTCTAGTGGAAATTATATTGCTAGTCTTAAAACAAGCACTGAAATTGGGATGCTCCATTTTAAAAAAAAATTCTGCCAGGTTGCCTCTGTATTCATCAGAGGACAATTTATCAGGACGCGCAGTACTATGTGCCTGGAACGGCAGTCAGCATCTTACACAGATCATCTCCTCTAAGCCTCACAGCAGGTGCTATTATTATCATTTCACACGAGAGGTAATTACCTTGCCTACAGTAGAGCTAGTCAGTGATGAAGTTGGGATTTCAACTCAGGAACCCTGGTTCCAAATATGGAATAGCTGATAAATGCTACCCAACAAATGTGTACTAACATGACGACAAAACTATGGGTCTGGAACCTTAAGGAGAACAAATTTGGACAAATTTTCTTCCCTTTAGTATTTCCATGAGATCTGTGTCTATGTTTACAGTACAGCATCTACTACTGTGATTTTCTGAAACAAAAAAACCATTGTTGCACTCAATCTCATTGTTGTTTTTTTTTCATTAATATTTGAAAACAGATATTGAGACAGAGGTAGTGACAAAAAGATATTCCCTCTGCTTGTTCATTCCTCAAATGGACACCATGAGTGGGGACCCACCAGAGATTACAGCGTTAAACTCCCACGTGGCTGGCAAGAGCCCAAGCATTTGGCCCATTTTCTTGCTGCTTTCCCCAGGCACATCAGCACTGAGCTGGATGAACAGCGCGGTAGCTGGGGCTGGAGTGAGCTATCCACTTTGAAATGCTGGTGTCACAGAAGAGGGCTTCACCTGCTGTATCACAATGTCCCAGCCTTGCCCTTCCCCATCTTTTTTACATGTAATAAAAATCACACATATATTTTACTCTTGTATGGCTTCCAATCTTTGGCCAAAAAGAGTGCGAAGTTTTGATAGTTATGGCCCTTGGGGTACTATGTAGGCTATCAAAATGAATAGAAACTAGATTTCAAAGTGGGAAAAAAGGTGGAGAGTAAATTGAAAAAAGGGAAAAATATGTAGATGAGTACGTCAAAAAGTTTATGGAAAATGGGATTAAATCATTTGGTCTGGCAGGCCAGACACCAGCTGGCTTCTCTGCATCCCAATGACACCTGCCTGCTGATAAAATACCTGAGGGTGGGGGGGGGGGGCGGGGAGGGCAGCAGGTGACAGCTCAATGATGGCAGCTGACACCCACGTGGGACAGAGTTCCAGCTCCTGACTTGGAGTGGCGGTATCAGGCACTGGGAGTGGGGTGAACCAGGAAATAGGGTTCCTGATTCTCTCTGCCTCTCCAAGAAATATTTTTTTTCTTAAGATAAGTTTATTTGGGCACCAAAAAGAAGAAAAAAATCTTTGAAATCTATGTGCTTTTTAAAAAAAAATTTAAAAGCTGCTGTTTCTTTTTTTTTTCCTACCGAAATGGCAGATTTACAGAGATGAGAGAGACAGAGAGAAAGATCCTCCACCCATTGGTTCACTCCCCAAGTAGCTGAAATGGCCAGAGCTGAGCGCATCTAAAGCCAGGAGCCCAGAGCCTCTTTCTGAGTCTTCACACAGGTTCAGGGTCCCAAGGACTTGGGCTATCTTCTACTGCTACCCCAGGTCAGGAAGCAGAGAGCTGGGTCAGAAGTGGAGCAGCCAGGACCCAAACCAGCGCCCACATGGGATCCCCACAAAACAAGGTAGAGGATTAGCCAACTGAACCATCGCGCTGACCTTTGCCGTTTCTTCATAATGCTACTCCTCTTCGTGGGTTTTGCAAGAAATTTTGCACCACAATTGCATCCTCCAAGAGCTTTGTATAGGACCTCCAGCAGGAGGGGAAAAGGAAGATGGCTCATGTTAGAGTGAAAATGGAAGAGAGAATGGGAGATCTCACTAGGTTACAAGCAACTGACTTTAAAAATCACATCCAGCTGTTTTTGTCCTCCTAACTACTGGTCTCCGCGGGTTGGAGTAACTACCGCAGAAGACGCAGTATCCCTGTCTGTGAAAAGCAACCCTTACTCTCCTCTACATTAGTCAAGATGTCCTACATTATTTCCGAGATGACATTACTGCCAATGAGGTGTTTTGCTCCTCCTCCCCTATCCCAGCCCGCTCCCCGTCCCCAAGTATCTTTTTTGGGGGTGGGAGGTGTTTGGGGTTTGCGCGGGGATCTCACAAAGATGAGACACCGGGACAAGGACTGAGATTTTGCGTCCGGAAGGAGAGAAGAGACGACGGCTAAGATCCCAAGGCGAAAGGGGAGGATGTTGACAGGAGCAGAGAAGCCCCGAGGGAACCGGCCTGCAAGGGAGGCTGGGCCGGCGGTGGGCTTAGGAGCAGCCGGCCGGTCGCCATGGTCACCGTGGGATCTCGCGAGGAGGCGCTCGCTGCGTGCCACCCAGCCGCTGGAGGACCAGGCGGGAGCTTCCACACCCCTTCTACACTCAGTCCCAGCCGTGACTCTGGGCGCTGGCTGCCTTCCCTCCTTAGGCGAGAAGTGTGGTGAGGGGGCAGTCCTCGCGAAGAATGCAGGGCGAAGCGCCGGAAGCAGCCCGGCCCGCCCCCAGCCGCGAGCGGAGGGCGGTGCCGGGAGGCGGGGGCTCTGCGCACGCGCAGCGCACGCGCACGTGGGGCCGGCGCTGTGGGCTGCCGGGACGCGCGGACTGTGAGTTGAGGTGAGGTGCGCGGTTACCTGGACCTGGGAGGGCGATCGAACTTGGGGCTCTGGCTCCGGTCGCGCTGAGTATCCAAGACTTCCTGGTCCACCTGTCGCGCGGGCGCCGAGCTCCTTCCGGGACCGGCGCGCCAGGCCTCCTGGGCTCCGGCTGCGCTCTGCGTTACCGCATCCATTGGACTGTGTGTGTGTGTGTGGGGGGGGGATACAAAGCGAAATCCCCACGCCGGCCCGTCTGCGTTTCGAAGAGAAGACGAGAACACAAAATGACAGCTCCCTGCGGCTTGCCGGGTGCCGGGCGGCACCCAGTGGGGAAGGGTGCGGCCCCTTGGAACCCAGAAGCCCGAGTCGTCCCCCGGGGTCTCAGTGGGCTCCTCCTCGGCGGGGAGGATGTCACCTCCTGTTGGGGCTAACGTCTCTCTCCAGTGAAGGTCAGAGGCCATCATTTCTTACCCGAAGGCTGCCCGAGTCCCCTTGGGGTTGCATCCAGTCTTGCAAAGAACCCTCCTTTCCTTTGCCCAGATTCCACAGAGCGATTTCTGTGATGGCGGCATAAGCATGGCACTCCTCTGTTTTTAACGTTATTGTCGGCTCTCCAAGGCGTACAAGTCTTCCCCTTCCCCACTTGCCTGTACCTTGCCTGGCATCTCGTTCTGTACTCCTCTACCCCTGCCAGGTGGCGCTCAGCTGTCCTGTAAGGCAGTTCCTGGGATGTCATCTCTGCTTCAGATGGCCTTTGATCCCCCGAAGAGAAGTAGAGCTCTGCTGTGTGTGTGCCTGGTCCATTTTACCGTATTACCTGCCCATGTCGTCGTCCTCCTAGATGCTTTAAGTTCACTGAGGCCAGGGACTGTTTTTACCTTGTTTATGTCTTGGTACCAGCTGGAGCTGAAGGTGGCAGTGGTATCCATTGGAAAGTATAAATGTGGCTGGGTGTTGAAGTGTAATTTGTGTGTGGTAGGGTCTAGGGAGGACGAAGCTGGTCAGAGATTGGGGTCTGAGTGTGAAGGGTCTTGTGAGGCGCCTTGAAGAGTGCAGTGGGGCAGCAGGCATTTAGTCTAGTGGTTAAGACGCCTGGGTTCAAGGCCCTGCTGGTGCAGAGGCCGGGAGAAGTGTGGAAGGCTCAGGCCATTGAAGTTCCTGCTGCCTGCCTGGGAGAACCTGATGGTGTGTCTGGCTCCAGCCAACTGCAGCCTGGTCCCACCTTGCCTCAGCTGCACAGAACTGTTTGCACTTACTGGAAGCAGAGGCTCTCAGGCAAAGGCACCTCAGCGAGGTCCATGTTCCAGGCTCTTCCTAGAGTTGCTGTTTTGGTTTAGATTAAAACTGCATGAACTTGTGCTCATCCGGGCCACTTTTGTACTTCTTTCTCTTCCCCACCAGATTCTGCAGACACCAGTTCATGCCTCTTGTTATCCTCTGGAGCGCATAAGTGTAAGTATTCGCCCCTGCTATCCAGACACCTGCATTGTGCCAACTCCTGCATTGTAGCAAAAGCCCCGTGAGGGTGCGTTTGCCTTGCTCCTGACCACCCAGCAGTCAGCAAGGACTAAATGGGTTTGGAAGAACTGCTTGTCTTCTCAACTCCCTGAGCCTGTGGGGTATGAAGATGGAAGGGTTTGGGGAGTGAAGGAAATGACCCAGATAGCAGATGGCCCAGTACAGACCCAGTGTAGACACTGGCCTCAGCATTAGCAGCCGGAGTTGAATTGGAGAGCACTTCCTCTAGTTTTGCCAGATGGGTCCCCTTGGTTCTCAGCTGAGTGCCAGATAGAAGGCGAGGAACCAAGTGGAGGGAAAAGACAGGCATAGGCCGCCCGAGGACAAGCAGGCCATGTGCTCTAGACCAGCAGATTATAGTGTTTTCCTTCGTAAGGACCCCTCTTGCTTTTCCTTAATGGAGCGTTGGCTTTTTTTTTTATCACAAAGTTAGATATACAGAGAGGAGAGACAGAGAGGAAGATCCTCCATCTGATGATTCACTCCCCAAGTGACCGCAACAACCGGTGCTGTGCCAATCCAAAGCCAGGAGCCAGGAAACTCTTCCAGGTCTCCCACACGGATGCAGGGTCCCAAGGCTTTGAGCTTTCCTTGACTGCTTTCCCAGGTGACAAGCAGGAAGCTGGCTGGGAAGTGGAGCTGCTGGGATTAGAACGGCATTAGAACTGGTACCCATATGGGACTCTGGTGCATTCAAGGCAAGGACTTTAGCTGCTAGGCCACCGTGCAGGGCCCAGGGGCCTTGTCTTTAACCATGATGCTTCCCCAGTTTTCCTACAGTTAGAGGCAGCAGCACAGTCTGCTTGGAATAAACTGAAATGGTTGTGTTGGAGGTGCGCAGGGGTATTTGTGTAGACAATGTTTTAGGAAGGAGGTACAAGGAACCTGTGGGAGGATAGCAGGTTTACACAGGAGGACAGGACAGACTGGCAGTTTTGCTTCTGTTTATGGGTTACTGCTGTGGTCACTGCACTATCAAAGCTGGTTCACTGTGCACAGCAGAGGTGCCTGGGCTCCCTGCAGGTTGTGAGCTGAGTGCAGCAGCCTCAGAGTCTTATTCACCATGAACCCCAGTACCTGAAACACCACTCCCACAGTGCAGGCGCGCAGTGGATGCTGAGTGAACAGAAACCCTAGAGAGCACTCAGAAAATTATAACAAAACTCGCAAGAATAATACCATACAGTCCCCCTCTACAATATAATTATGAACATTTTCAGTGCATAAAAAATGCGAGTTCACTGACTGCAACAATGTAAAACATTTGCACGCTGCCTGCATATAAAGACAAAGTCAAGTGACAAAAAGGGGAGTGTTAAAGGAAATGTCAAATGTACATGGTCACCTGATTGGGCCTACAAATTCAGGCTTACTTCCACTTACCAAGAGTCCAGGTACAACTGAGATATTGGGAAGGCATGTGCTTCAAGCTAAAGTGAATCTTCTGTTGCCATTTTGTGTCTCTGAAGGGTTTCCCACCATGGCTGCAGCCCCTCAAGCCCCATCAGGGGGTTCGGTTCGAAAGACGAGACCTGTAACCGTGAAGACGTCCTTGAACAACCCATATACCATCTGCTGGCCCGAGCTGGACCGGGAGCACATGCACTTCATCCTGCAGACTCTGGAGGACGGGTTTCAGGCTGTTGGCCTGCGCAAGATTGAGGATAAGAAAAGAAAGAAAACAATGCCTTCTTTCAAAAAACAAAGCCAAGAAAACTGCAGCCTCGGCGCTGATACTGGTAAGAACCAAAAGGAAAGAGAGAAAGACGTGAAGCAGCCATCATTGGGGTGGACTCCCGTGCATGTCAGGAAACAGCTGGCCATTGGTGTCAATGAAGTCACTAGAGCCCTGGAGCGGAGCGACCTGCTGCTGGTCCTGGTGTGTAAGTCGGTCAAGCCCGCCCTCATCACCTCACACTTGATTCAGCTGAGCTTAAGCAGAGCTGTGCCCGCCTGCCAGGTTCCCCGGCTCAGCGAGAGAATCGCGCCTGTCATCGGCTTAAAATGTGTCCTAGCCTTGGGGTTCAGAAAGAACACAGTGGACCTAACGGACCAAGTCTGTGCCATCATCCCCAGAGTGCCTGATTTAAGTGTACCATGGCTTCCAGACAGAACGGAAGGTCCTGGGGAGACTGTAGAGACCACAGCTCTGGAAGACCAAGACAGAGAGATTCTGGAAACTTCATTCGAAGACCTCTCAAAAAATAAGCGGAGACTTGCTGAAGCTCAACCAACTTCTGTAGCTTTACAGCCACTTAAGATAAAGAAGCTGATTCCAAACCCTAATAAGAAAAGGAAACCACCCAAAAATAAAAAAACTACTAAATAATCTTGGATAAACTTGTCCAGGCAGTTTGTCAAAGGACACATTGTAAAGATGCTTTGAAACTAATAAAATGAGTGACATTTACATATATCTTTAGGATCCTATTTGATAAAGTTTCCACTTTTTGTAATTGTATGGCACAGATATATTGGTTTAAAAACACTAAATACAGAAAATATTTTAACATGAATGTAAAGACAAAAACTTACTGCAAATAATGTGCATGCATTTTCTTTTTTTGAAGAAAAGATGTTCTTTCAAGCAAGAACATTTGTAATTTTCCATCAAACTTGGAAAACATGCCAAGGAGACAGTCCCGGTTCACAGGGCAGGTGTAAGCAGAGTGGAGAAGCACTAGGAGTGTTACAGGAAGTGCCATGCAGTACACTGTATTCAAAGGCAAATCATCTTTTTTTTGTCTTCCTTCATGTCAACTTCTTTTTCAGGCAGACAGATAGGTTGAATGTTCACACAGAAAAAGTCAGGCAAGACATTCTGACTAGTTAGAAGTCGCCAACTTTCCATGGTGTAAATTTAATTCCTATAAACAAGACGATGGTGATTAGGTGGGATGCGGCAAGAAGAGAACAAAGCAAGGCAGTCGGGTCTGCACTGCAGGAGCAGGTGAGGAGGGGACCAGTCAGTGCTGCTCCAGACGTCTCCTGCTTGGAGAATTCACTTTCTGTGATTTGTGAGGAAAAAGTTGGCTTCTCAACATTTTCTTCAGCTTGAATTCTAGTGGCCTCATGCATGATGCCACCTGTATTATTTCCATTTTACTTAGTGCATATGGGGAAACCTAATGGAAAACAGCATTTTTGTTATAGACAAAGTGTAAAGCAATGCAATTATTTTGGATCTGAAACACTATTTGTTGTATTGGGATTTTTTTTTTTTTTTGATTAGAAAATTAGATTTACAGAGAAAGGAGAGACACAGAGAAAGATCTTCTATCTGCTGGGTCACTCCCCAGATGGGAACAGCCAGAGCTGAGCTGATCCAGGCTGGGAGTCAGGAGCTTCTTCCAGATCTCGCATTTGGGTGCTAGAGACCAAGGACTTAAACCATCCTCCACTGCTTTCCCAGAAGGCCACAAGTGCAGCACTGGATCAAAAGTACAGAAGCCAGGACATGAACCGACACCCATATGGGATACTGGTGCTAGCAGGCAGAGGACTAGCCTGCCCCATGCCAGCCCCTCCATGTTACATTTAGTTTTAATAGCTATTTTGCAAGCATGTATTGATTCTGTATTTTAAAATGTTCATTTGTTAATCTTAAAGAGTCAATTGCAGTTATTAGCTACATTTAAGAATGACTTAGTAATTAACTATCAGTTTCATTTCATGAAGGAAAGCTCATGACAGAATTTGACAGTTTTGTAATTACCTGAAAAGTATTTTGCATAAATATAAAATTTTCTATCATTAAAAAATGTTGTAAACCAGAGCCTTGATTTCCAGATTGAGCATTTGCCTTATGCTAGTATCTCAGAATGTTCCAGTGAGTTGATACAGTTTTGTTTCTTGAAGGCTTTCTCCTTGGAAGAAAGAAGGGTCAGTACAGCTGGGTTTGAACTTTTCACTACTATGCAGCCTCAGGTGTCCCACTAGTGGTAATGTTGGGATGCCACAGCTGTGGTTTTCAACTCTCAATCACTGCCCCTGTTTTCGTGAGGGGTCATAGGCTTTGCGGGCTATGCTGTTTGTCACAATAACCCAAAACTGTCTTTGTAATGTGAGGCAGCCACAGTCAGTGTGTACACAAAAGTATGGCAGTATTCCAGTACAACTTTATTTATGGAGTCTTAACTGGTTATTTTGTAGAATTTTCACATCACAAAGTGACTTTGACTTTCCTCCCTCCAACCATTCCAAGATAACAAAAACATTCTTAGGCTGTATACAAACAGGCAGTGGGCCATGGACTGTTGACGCCTCTCCCCCCTTCCCTGGCAAAAGACCTGGCTGGCTTCATTAAGACTATTTATCACGTGCTGCCAATGCTGTCATGTTATCCAGGAGGCACACAGCCTAGGCACTGGCATGTGCAGGCAGGAACACACATCTGCTTACTGAGTCCAGGCGTGGCTTTGTGGCCTCATTTGGCATCTTATTTGTCCCTTAGGTCAAGTGGAATATATACACATTTATGTATACCTTTAAACTGGTTTCAAATTCTAGATTAAAAACACCATTGGTAACAAAATTATGGATACTTATTTACAAATAAGACATTTCTATTAGCATGACAATTTTTGTGATAAATTAAGATTCAACATAAAGCAATATGTGCAATTTTGCATAAGTAATAAGAACATTCACACTAACAGTGCCTTATAGCACTGATAAATTCCACCAGGTCTGTGTGTTCACTTTAGGGCCTTTATTCCCTTTTCTTACATGTCCAGGATGTTCAATTTGCTCAGCAGCAGCAAAGTCTGGTCCTGGGCATAGGCTCTCAGAGAGCACACCTCCTGTTTGCACACAACATTGCTTTTCAAGCAATTCACTGACCTGTTGAAGATCAAAGTATAAATCTGTGTGTCTACTGATTGGACGGCGCCGCTTATGGAGAAGAAGATATGACAGTTACCAGTGCATTTTTTTATGTTGCTTCACACCTATTCACCCCTTGTCATGGAGGGAGAGAAGTGTAAATGTTCCCAGTGACAGCACAGAAGGTGACAGAAGTGAAGATTCTCCAAATGGATCCTTCATTCTCTTACACAAATATATTGGCACTCAAACAAGTGCTGCCATTTGTCGCCATACAACAGCAAGGGTTTTAACAATATTTAGTTCAGAGAAAAACGTTTCTTTTTTTCATAAAGAGTGGAAAAAAACCCTCTTTTCAGCAAGATAGCCAGAAGTTTGTATATTAGGGAAATATGTTCTTTGTATCTCTGTCATCCCATTCATAAAGGGGTAAGCAGTGAAAAAAGGTGAATAATGTTCTAGGTAAAATGTAATAACTGGTCACATATGGACATATTTTCATCTTGTGTGATGGTTACCAACTACTTCGATTTCACTTGTGCTTTTATTCTTTGGAGTGGCAGTTCAGGAATCATTAATGGAATATTAAGAAATGATGATGGCCGAGATTTAGAATGAAAAGCATCCTTTTATTGTAGTACAAGTCCAACCTAAAGGGAGGAAAGAAATGAGCTAGTAAGAACAAGCAGCTGAAACTCTAGATCTGTATTTTTAAAAGCTATTGAAAAAGGCCTCTTATTTCTAGAGAAAGCCTAAACGGGATTACAACCCACCTTTTCAGACTCAGTTCCTGGACACCTCCAGTTGTATAAGTAATACTGTAAATTGCCATCTCCTATGCCAAACTTGAGTTTCTCCAAGAATGTTTTATTTTCCATCAAATCGAGTGCATTGAATACATCAAATCCTTTCTGCCAACATAAAAGGGATTTAAGATTTGAAACAAAGGACTAGAATGTTTCCTGGACTTAGTATAACATTTAATTCCTCTGTTAATAGCATGAAAATGCATTTACAGTGGTTTATGTCTTACAGAATAAGTTATGAGTTCAGTTCAAAAGTCATAAAACTCACAATGAGTATGATGGGATCAGCCAGATTGTGCAGAAATGCTAACTCTAAGAGCGGCAGGGGCAGGCATCTGGCTGGCAGCAGAGATGCGTCTGTCCTCTGTCGGAGTACCTGGGCTCCTTTCGACTCACTCTTGATTCCAGCTTCCTACAGAGTGCGCCCTGGGAGGTAGCAGGTGGAAGCTCAAGCATGGTTGGTTCCCTGCAACCCATGTGGGAGACCTGGGTCATATTTTCAGCTTCCAGCTGTTGCAGGCAGCTGGGAAGTGAACCAGTGGATGGGAGCTCTCTGGATCTCAACAATAACAAGAGTACGTTTTTCTTCAAAAACTGCATAGAACATCTCTCTGTTTCTCTGCCTTGCAGGCTAAATAAATGATAAATTTCTTGTAAAGATTTGTTTATGTGTTTGAAAAAGCAGAATGACAAGGAGAGACAAAGAGATATGTTTCAATCACTGCAGCATTCCCCCGATTCCCTCAACAGCCAGAGCTCCATCTGGGTCTCCCACATTAAGTAGCAGGAACCCAAATCCTTGGGTCACCATTGACTGCCTCCCAAGTACATTAGCAGGAAGCTGGGTAGGAATGTGGAGTTGCATGGACTTGAACTAGTACTCTGATAAGGAATGAGGGCATCCCAAGAGGCAGCCTAACCCGATGAGCCACAGTGGCTTCCCCAAAAGTAACAGAATTTTAAAAACAGTATTTTCAATGTTCAATTTGTAGAGAAATGCAAGAAGACACTTCTGGAAATGTTTTCAATTTCATAAACAATTGTTTTCTTATCATTAGTCATGTGTTGTCCAAACACGACTGCCAGCTTATTGAAATTTCTGTTTAAGAAAAACAGCTGATTTGAAATAAGAATTTAACAATTCTGGCAATTCCCAGACCAAGGAAAGAGAAAATAATGGATATAGTAATGTTATAGTAGGTACACTAAATTACATTCAGTAGTTTCGCCATCTCTGAGCTTCTAATTATAGCTGAGTAATTGAAAATATTACATGGAAAATTCCTAAAACCAACAATTCATCATTTTAAACTGTGTGTGCTGCCTTGAGCAGCACTATGCAACCGCGTGCTTCCTTCTTGGGATGTGACTCGCCTCTGTGCGACTTCTCCATGCCGTGGAGGCCACGCGCCTGGGAGTCACTTCACAGCCACCTCAGCGATCAGACTCACTGTGGACCTAGTGTGGCGCTGGTATGCAGGGTTCTGTGCCATCTGCGGCTCCAGGCACCCACTGGCCTACTGAGGTCCACAGCTCACAGACATGTGGCACTACAGTCTTTTCCTTATGTCTTTCTTGTTTTCTTATGTAATAATGAAAATACCATTTCCTTATATGCAGAGGTAGTTTCTGACTTGTACAAAATTTCTGTTAGAATGCCAAAAATGTAATCTGCATTAAAATGTTAAAAGTTCCTCAGAATTTCTCCTTTGACTGTTAATCAACAGTTAAAACAAAACCAAAAAGCACCTTAGGTGAAACCTATCTGTACAGAAGACAACAGAGCAGGATGCTTTCTCTGGCCTGTGGACTTGGAGAACCAAAGCATGCGCCCAGGGACGCGGTGCTCACCAGTTTCGCAATGATGAGTGCGTCGTTCATGAGGTCCAGCAGAGGGGTCTCGGTGTGAATGTTGTAGAAGGAGTAGGCAGCTTTGAGGCTCTTGTGAGCAGGGTGCTGCATGACTGTAGACGGGAGTGTGTAAAAGCTCAGGAAATCCGTCAGCCGGCCGCTGGCGTTCTGAAGGACAAAGATGCCAGTCAATACCCCATCCCACCCCTGCACCCTGGAGCGAACTGCATCTGCTCTGTTAAGCGCCCTCTGGCATCTCTGAGCTCGGACCGGACCTTAACTTAGTCCTACTTATTTTTGGGCAATCCAGTTGGCAGTCCCTTGGATCTGAGAAGAATATGGTGTTGGAATTCTAGTCCAACTTTTGTAGTAGGAAAGCCTTCCTCAGGCTGACTAACGGGCCAGCTTTCTGGACAAATGGAGCAGTGATTAAAGCAGATGCAGTGTTTCGGTAGAAATAACAGTGTTAAGGATTAGGAGGCTGCCTTCGCTACCCAGAACATACTGTCCAGTAATAAACACTTAGCACAGGGCAGGGATTTTATCAGGTTAGAACAAAGCTGTGTAGAATCTGGAAGCTGTGTGTGGAAGCCTGAATACTGCACCAATAAATACATATGTGAAAAAATGAATGGAAATTTTACCATATCAAAAATAAAGGGCACGGGCCTGGCATGGTAGCCTAGCAGCTAAAGTCCTCCCTTTGCACGCACTGGGATCCCATATGGATGCCAGTTCTAATCCTGGCGGCCCCGCTTCCCATTCAGCTTCCTGCTTGTGGCCTGGGAAAGCAGTTGAGGACGGCCCAAAGCCTTGTGGCCCTGCACCCATGTGGGAAACCCAGAAGAGACTCCTGGCTCCTGACTTCGGATCGGCACAGCACCGGCTATTGTGGCCACTTGCGGAGTGAATCAACAGATGGAAGATCTTCCTCTCTGTCTCTCCCTCTCTCTGTATATCTGACTTTGCAATAAAAATAAATAAATGTTTAAAAAGAAAATAAAGGGCACAAGATGGGATTCCTATCACCATCACCAGGATGGTTTTCATTAGCTACATTGGGGCTTGCACACTTTTGGAACAAAGTCTTTCAATGATGGGGCTGAAGAGGCCATAGCAAATCCATGTTGTTGCTAGAAATTCCAGAGGGATATAGTCTCTGAATTTCTAGTGCTTCTGGTTAAGTAAACTTCTCTCCAGACATTAAGAAACAAAGGAGGTTTATCTCCAAGGATTTCCACTGATCTACACAGGCAGCCCAGCAATAGGGATGCCGGGAGGAAGGGGATAACTTCTGTGAATGGATCAGTAACAGTCTCACAGGCAGAGGGGACCCATCCAATCTGATTAGCCACCCGGACTCCCTTTTCATTGCTTGCTTTTTAGAAAACTAGCTTTTCATGATCATACTAATGGTTACTCTCTCTGTGTTTGCTACTAAAATGCAACCAGAACTACGACAAACTTTCAAGAAAGCATGGGAGATTCTTTGTCTTTGTTCCCATTTTTCCTCATGGTCAATCCACTGTACTGATAGATTAAAAAACAAACAAGCAAACTACCCACAAGGCTATGTCTCCATGACCTATAGGAAAGCTTTTAGCAACCTTCAGAGAACAAATAATCCTTACATATAAATTGAAAAGAAGTGGTAGGCACACCATTTTAAAACATCATCTCAATAGATTCAGAAAAATATGAAATAGAACTCAACAGCAAGGCATGAAACAGCTAGGCACAGAGGACCACCTCCTCATTCTGATGAAGGGCATCTACGAGGCACCCACAGCCCACATCACACAAGACAATGTCACTGAATAACACTCTCCAGCATGTGAAAGGTCCACTAGTCCACTCTCCTTTAGAACTAATCCTGGAGCTCGAAAATGAAATACACAAAGTGAGGGCCTGGCCACAATGGCTCAGTTGGTTAATCCTTACCTTGCAAGTGCTGGGAACTGGTTCATATCTCAACTGCTCCACTTCCCCATCCAGCTCCCTGCTTTTGGCCTGGTAAGGATGGCCCAAGGACTTGGGACTGTGCGCCCACATGGGAGACCCAGAAGAAGCTTCTGGCTTCAGATTGACTCAGCTCTGGCCATTTTGGCCATTTGAGGAGTGAACCAGCAGATGGAGGATCTTTTTATCTTTCCTTATCTCTGTAAATCTGCCTTTCCAATAAAAATAAATAAATCTTTTCTTTCCCCCAAAGGACAAAAAAAAAAAAAATGCAAGGTCAACATATAAAACTCAATAGGATTTATATACAGTACAAAGAAACACATATAAGATGAAATTACTAGTAGATAATGCTGTATTAACAGGTAGAAAGTATTTAAGAACAAATTTAATAAAAGGTGTGACAGACTTCTCCACAGAGTATTACAGAATACTGCCGAGAGAAACTTAAGACAATCCAAGTGAATGGAGAATTATACAGTATCCAAAGTTTGGTTTCCTATATGACTAAGATAAATTATCATAAAGTTAATAAATTCAATACAATCCCAATGAAAAGCCCAGCAGGTTTTTGTGGTAAATCACAGACTACTTGGTTCCAAAATTTGGTTTCCAAAATACAAAGGGCCTATGAAAGACAAAACATTTTTGAAAAGAAAAAAAAAAAAAAAGAAGACTCAGACTATCTCTTTTCAAGGGACTTAAAATAAAGCTACGGCATCTAAAGTGTGAATCAGAAAATAGGTAGGTGGGCAGATCTGTGGAATAAAACAGGGTCCAGAAATGGAGCCACACATATTCAGTCACCCAATTTTCTACCAAGGTGTCAGGTTATTCAACAACAACAACAATAAAAAGTAGTCTTTTCAACAAATGGTCCTGAAACAATTGAGTGGTTATATAAACGTTGACCTCTACACTGTACACAAAAAGTAATTCAAATAGATCACAGACAAAACATAAAAGATACTTAAAAAAACCCATAAAGTCCCACCCCCATCACCACACAAAAAGAAAATCTTTAGGGCTTCAGAGCAGAGAAAGATTCCTGCAGCTAATCATGGATTCATTGTAAAAGAAAAAAATAATGGCATATTGGTCTTCATCAAAAGTGAAGTATCAGAAACTATCAATAGGAAAATTAAAAAGGAAAGTCACAGAGAAAAATACTCATTACAGATAGATGGATACTGAGCTAAATATTGATGACAGAGGTCTAACAGCCAGATTATGTAAAAGTCTCTTATAACTCAGACAATTCAGAAAAAACCTGGAGAGATTTTACAAAATATCAACATAGCTCAGTTCATGAAATATTACTGCTACAGCAGTCATTAAAAATAAATAAGTAAAAACCACAATGAGATAATACTCACATGATAAAATGTAAATAACAAACTGGCAGTGATGACACCACTGGCAGTGATGCATCCCAGCCTGGAGTTCCTGGGTTCGAGTCCTGGTTCTGGCTCTGCTTCTGGTCTAGTTCCGCTAACGTGCACACTGCGAGGTAGCAGCTGAGGGTTCACGTGCTTGGGTCTCTGCCACCCACGAGTCAGTGTCCCTAGAGTATCCCAGCTCCTGGCTTCTTCGGCTGTCATGGCCATTTAGGGAACAAACCAATGTGTAGGAGATCTTTGTCTTTTCATCTGCCTGACTTGCAAACAAATAAGCTAAGCCAATAGAAACTGAAAAATAGACATCGGACAATACCAAGTGTTCATGAAGACTTGGATCAACAACCTAGTGAGCACATCAAACGGCACAACCACTCTGGAAACTGTTGAGCAGTTTCTTACGAAGTTGGATGTATATCTCCCTTTCCTCAAGAATAAAGAAACCACTGGTGTGCCAATGCCCACAACAGTTTCATTCATAAGAGACAATCCTGCAAATAAGTCAAATATTTATCAGCAAGAGAAAGGTGAAACAAACTGTGATATATTCATTCCATGAGCCACCAATCAGCAATAAAAACGAAAGAGTGGCTGAGAAGTGAAACTACGGATGGATCTCAGTGGCAGGCAGAGCATGTGAGTCCCAGGACTGGCAAAGCTAATTTATGATGACAGGAATAAAACCACTGGCTGCCTGGAGGAGGGATATGAGAGATCCTGGATCTTGAATTGGGTTATTGTTATACAAGTGGCTCACCAAGGCGTGGACTTAAAATCTGCACATTTTATGTGGATTCTGCCTCAATAACACTGGCATAAACAAAATTCAACATAAATTCATGATTTCAAAAAACCATTAGCAGACAAGGATTTTGATTAACCAGATAAAGTATATCCCACCAAAACAGTCACAAAAATATCATAATGGCTAAATGCTAAAGTCAGGATAAACATGAAGAGGGCCATTTGATACCATTTATTTATTGCTACAGGATTTATCCACTATAGCAATAAAGGAAAAACCTATATGACCTGTAAGAATTGGAAAGAAAAATTTAAAATGTATAAAAATATTGGTATGTTTGTTTAGATACACAGAAGATATACCCAAAACCTTAGCTTTAGTGGTAAATCCAAAAAATCTTAAAAAATGTATTTATTTTTATTGGAATGGCAGATATACAGAGAGGAGGAGAGACAGAGAGGAAGATCTCCCATCTGCTGATTCACTCCCCAAGCAGCCTCAACAGCTAAGCCAATCCAAAGCCAGGAGCTCAGAGTCTCTTCTGGGTCTCCCACACGGATGCAGGGTTCCAAGGCTTTGGGCCGTTCTCAATTGCTTTCCCGGGCCACAAGCAGGGAGCTGGATGGGAAGTGGGACCGCTGGGGTTAGAACTGGTACCCATATGGGAGCCTGGTGTGTACAAGGCGAGGACTTAAACCTCTAGGCCATGGCACCAGACCCAATCCAGAAAATTTTTAAAATGCAAGATTAGCATCCAGAAATCCTTAGTGTTCAAAAATAAGTTTTCAAAAACCTCTGCATTTATGACAAAATACGTATTAGAAGCTACAACGTATATGGAAACAAAAGTGAAAGATAAGGTAAGGAAGGAAGTGCGACGGCCTTCACGTAGCACTGGCAGGTGGAATTCCAACACAAATGCCTCTCAAACATAGAACCTACTCTGTACCTACTGCTGTGTCCAAGACCTTCCAACGCCCGCCCCATCAGAGCTCCTGTGGTGGCAGTGGGCACATTGCTCATGCAGTGCTCACCCAGGGGAGCCGCTCTGATCCCACGATTCTGAG